AGTACATTGACATTAGATCGAAGTGCCGCGAAAATCGAAATGTTCCACATGTATGGAGAAACTTGAGCTGCAGCTTTCTGATTTGTGATTCGTAAGACAGACTCGGAAGATCGATCTAACCCTGCGTTTCCCCTTAAACTGATCTCAAAGGCGTTTTGTTGAATTTGGACATCCTACTACTTCCCTAGCACCGCCTTCTTCTTGAATTAGCACTCACTACTATCACTATTACTACAAAATTTTTATTTATATTACATTGCCTAACAATGTCATCCATAAACTATTGGATGGTATTCAAATATCACCCAAAATCCAGATTATACATGCATATTGTTAGCGGATGTTCGATTCATAATGAGGTAACTTCTCTCACAGGAGCAGCTAGGCCGCTTGCTGTAAGGTCTACAAATTGGGTCGATCACTGACGACGTTCCTCGTGCTGCAGCCTCGCTCTGAAGGCCGAGAGTAGCGAACAAATCCAGGACAAACTGAAGAAATGGCGTTCTGGCGGAGAGGGGTCTCACAATCAGGCGTGAAGAACTGAGCTCCTTAGCTTGGATTGGAGAGCAGAACCCGTCGTAGATTGTTTTGAGAATGTCGTCGAAGGGTACAAGAATTTTAATCCTCGGGCAATGGCCTAGTATGGTGACAGAAGTGCGATCCAGGCTGCAAAAGTCTCAATAAACATGGCATTGATGAAATGAAGAGAGTCCAGTGGTATTCTTTGCCGCCCACGGGGCTCCAACACGCTTGAAGGAAGGGTATTCACAGCAATGGAGAAACCCGTGATGTTCTATAACAGCGAATGCAGGTCTGTAAGCCAAAAGCAAGGGATCAACTTCACTCGACTAGAATGAGAATGCTCGGATAGGGCGGTCTGACTCGAATGTATATAGGGTCAGAGTTGACATTGAACTGACAGTCATAACAAGTATTTATTACGTAGTCACAATAATCTCACCAAGAGGTGGGCTAAATGGAGACTAGGAGACTAGATATTATTGCTCATTGTTTCGAACAGCAAATGTTCGACGGAAGAGGAATCGGCTGTTTGTATGGAATTTGATAGCTAAACCAAGTGCATTCCTTCGAGTCCGTATCATTATTTCTCACAGCAGCGACTTACCACCGAGAAATCCCCGATAATATGCTACCAGTTGGGCTACGCACGCCAATGCGTGCACCACATGCACACGCTTAAAAGTGTCAATCGGTTGCGCTTTTCATCTTGGAAATTATGAACCATTAAAGGTTTAACTGATAGGCAAACGAAAAATTGAGTATCAAGTGATAATAACAACATTGTAAGATTTCGTTATCATTGGACCTTCTTTCCTCCACGGGTACATCATTAGTTGAGGATCCCAAAATATTGGTGGTCGGATGAGCTTTGTCGTGAATGATATCAAAACATTGAGTAACCTCGATCTTTCACCGAGTTACAAACCTTGCTGGGTAGCGGTCGTAATCTAATATAATAGTCGTAATCATAAA